GAAAGAAGAAACATAACAAATTTTACACTATCACAAACTTGGAGTAAAGCAAGAATAAATAAAACATCTCTGCAAATGACCTTTGCTTTCAACAAATTAAGGGGAAAACGTAACTTAATGTGTTCCACTAAAAAAAATATTGAGCTAATCAAATTATTAAGCATACAAAGGAACTTGAAACTCAAATGCTATCTACTAATGTGAAAAGAAAAACACTTAAATTTTGGGAATAAACCGGAGGACTCAAGTCTTAATGAACAAGGGAGATTTCGCAAATCATGCAATGAAATATGATTCGGAATAAAATTAATCTTCGTGAAATTAAGCAGATCTAGACAGCAGTAAATAACAGACAGAATGCTCAGGTTTTCAACTACGGCTACATACAAACTAAGGAGGAGAACAAATGAGATGAGGAGGATGAGGCGTGGTTTATTTTTTTCTTTATGATTATTTTTTTTGACAGCATGTTCTAGCGGTTAATGGACGGACTTCTCAATTTTATTTTAGTTTAAGAAGAGAACAAACTAAAGCAAACCTACTACTCAAACATGACACCCATTTTTCAAGTGAACTCGAAATTGTTAGCACCAAGAAACGACATGTTATAAAAATCTAATAACGACTTAAGAAAGAAACTGAATCTTGCCTTTTGACTTAATGATCAAGAAGATGCATTAACTACATCCCTAATCACTTAATTCATTGGGCAACCTCACAATGCAGGAAACAGAGATGTTGGCTCACATAGAAATGGAATCAAAACAAAGTAAATAGAATCCCAATAATAGACTCCCAAATATGCAAGCAGACGAGAACTCTTTTTTTTAAATTCGTCGGAAATCATCAGTCAAGATTTAACTCAAATCACTTAACAGAAAGACACAAGGCGTTGAGCAGGGATTTGTACATATACAGAAGCAAGGTTTTGAACCCATTGCGGAAAAAAGATAAAGATAAAAACAAAGTATAGTTTGAAGGGTATGTGAAACTAAATTGATATTCGAGTAAGACAATCCGAGCAGACTACTGCGAACTCTTTGAAATTTACGATTCTACAACTTATGCGGTCGAAATCAAACAGTCAACACATTGAGAGACAAATGACGATGAGCAGGAATAGATGTTACCTTTTAGAGTGCAGCCGAACTGGAGACGGTGACAAGCAGGGGTGACTTCACCACTAAGCAATTCCGAGCGCGAACAGTGGTTAAGAAGGTAGGAATATCGAATCCAAACACTCAAAGCAAATATCTCCTCTCCTTTCCTTGAATAGTTAGTAGGTATTCTCGCTATTTCCGCTTAAGCTATTCTGTGTATATTTAACTCTAAGATTTCAAAACCAAAGTCCCCCCCTTTTAAAAATGAATAATCCAATAATATATAGAAGAAGCTAGGGTTCGGAATAAATGGGAAAAAGGACGAAAATCCGGATGAGAATCGGCTCCATTTCAAAAATTTGAATTCAAAAATCTTTCACCAATTCGGCTAAACACTTTTTCCTACAAAAATTGCCCCATTCCGGAAGAGGAAAGGGGTAGGACGCGTGCTCTGCCTTGCTGTTGCGTGTGTCGACGCGTCTGGGCTGCTGTTGTACGTTCCTAGTCGTTTTCTGCGTGTTGAAGGAGAAGAAGACAAAGACGCAGGGGTCTGGGTCGGTTTGGCCTGCTGTACATATGGGTTAATTGGAATTATATTGGAATGGGTTTCTTTAGAATTGAATTTGGGCTGAATTAGGTCACTTTAAATGGCCCAAAATGGTTTTACAAATGAGTCAAGGTAGGGAAGGGGTTAAATTTGCAAATATAAATGGCTAAATGAATTGCAATTATAGCCATAGAATTCACAATATAATCGAATTGAATTTAATTTGCAAATCCGGCTAAAATCTAAAATTAATTAAGGAGCTTCTTAAACTTAATGAAATGAAATAATTAACTTAATCATAAACCGAATGATTTAAAAATATAAACTATTATATAACTAAACTAATTAACCAAATATTTAATTAAAACAAAATCTTTTTGAGAGGATTTTCAAATATTTATAAAATATGCTAATTAATAAATTATATATGATCGAGAAAATGAGAAAGCCAACATGCCAGGATGATCCTAAAAAGAGAGCAAGACAACGAAATTTGAAAAAAAATAGAACAAAAGACAGAGTAAACTAGAATCTGGATAGTAATATGACTTCCCACCTTATGAGCTCAGTTCTACAAATGGTAAGCACTTTCAACTGAAAACTTGGGCATATAGAAACATAAATTCGATTCAAACAAGACATGATAAGCAGTAGAATGATCAGAGGATTTATAAACAAAGAAAAACGAAATACTATATCAGCAAGCCATAGACGAAACAACATACAAGTTCCACATCAATTCGCTAAAGATTCTGCCCCCTATTCACTGTCACGATTCGAAGGAAATCGGAAATAAAGAAAATTATACCAACGGGAAGAGCTGAATACACTTAAGACAGAACTTACAGCCAACGTTAATCATACAACACACATGAATCTCATCTCGAAGACGGAAAAGAGACAAAAACATTATGAAAGAGAGAGCATTTTACCTTTTCGAGGGCAGCGAGCTGAGACTAGACGAGTAAGAGATCAGCGAGCTTCCACGACTTCAAACACAACTCCGGTAAACACACGTGAACAGAGAAATGATGCAAAGACTCAAACCCAGATTGAACTCTCACTCTCTCAGCTTAGTATCCCAAATATTTATCTATGAATCTCTATAGCTAGTAGTTTCTTTGTATTTATCTCGAATTCTCCCTAACTCCTCCAATATCCCCCCTTTACAAATGAATAATCCAATAATATATAAAAGAGGCTAGGGTTCAGAATAAATAGGAAAAAGGACGAAAATCCGAATGAGAATCGGCTCCATTTCAAAAATTTGAATTCAAAAATCTTTCACCAATTCGGCTAAACACTTTTTCCTACAAAAATTGCCCCATTCCGGAAGAGGAAAGGGGTAGGACGCGTGCTCTGCCTTGCTGTTGCGTGTGTCGACGCGTCTGGGCTGCTGTTGTACGTTCCTAGTCGTTTTCTGCGTGTTGAAGGAGAAGAAGACAAAGACGCAGGGGTCTGGGTCGGTTTGGCCTGCTGTACATATGGGTTAATTGGAATTATATTGGAATGGGTTTCTTTAGAATTGAATTTGGGCTGAATTAGGTCACTTTAAATGGCCCAAAATGGTTTTACAAATGAGTCAAGGTAGGGAAGGGGTTAAATTTGCAAATATAAATGGCTAAATGAATTGCAATTATAGCCATAGAATTCACAATATAATCGAATTGAATTTAATTTGCAAATCCGGCTAAAATCTAAAATTAATTAAGGAGCTTCTTAAACTTAATGAAATGATACCTATATCGATCATTTTTCAATATATCGATGGAGTATCACAGAGGATTAAGCTTAGTCCTATATGATACCTATATGGTATCAATATACCGACAAAATATCAGAGGAATCATTCATAGTAGTGATGCTAACAACATGCTAACATTATAGCCATGGGTTCATTAAGGATAAATGGTTAGGGTTGAGTCAACTTGATAAATAGTTTCACAATTGAATCTATTTTGTGTAGTTACATAGAATAACTAAATAAAAAAGATATTACAAAAAATCGCATGAAATCACAAGAATTAAAAGTTAAAATGAGAATAAAATGAAATAAAAAAATAATATTTTTTTTTAGAATAATAAAATAAATTCAAAATAATAAAACTAAAATTAAATTAAATTAAAATAAAAACTAAGAAATTAAAAAGTAATCAACTTGTAATTAGACAATGTAATTACCAACAATTTTCAATTACATCCAATTACATGCTCACCAAGTAATTAGATGATAATCAAATATGACAAATATTTTAATGAGTAATGCTAAATGATCATAAAATTTGGCCAGAAATTTAAAAAGTATATACTAATATCTTTTTTATTTTAAAATAAACTGATCTTTTTTCATTTTTTAATTAAAAGATATTAAAGTTAAAAGAGTAAAAAAAATTCAAAAAGTAAAATAATATAGCGTAAAATATTTTATTTTACCATTTTGGCCAAAAGTTTTTTTTTCCTATTTTAATTACCCCAAATCCAATAGCACGTTGCTTTCCAATTAATAATGTGGGATTCCAGATTGTTTGATTAAAAATAAAAAATTAAAATGTTGGAATCCTCATTGTAATTTTTTTTTTTTCTAGAAACAAATTCAGATTTTACGCTATGCTTTGATCAAGTTTAACACTTTTCTTCTTACTGGCGAAATTGAGGTTCCGTATCTCCTTCCTTATTCATATCTTCAGTGTTATTTTTCCTTTAATTTTGACCAATCTCGCCCCTGTTATAGATCAGATTTTGTTCCTTTATGGTGTATTTTTTAGGTAATTTTGACACACATCAAAGATTGTATTTTGGTGCGTTTCTAAGTTTGTTATATTCTTCAGATTAAAGAATACCTTGGTGGGTTTAGAGGGAATTTAAAAAATAGACCTTTTATTGTTGAATAACCTGAATTTTGATTTAGATTACAGAGTAATTTGGTGGCTTTTGTGGGAGTTGGAGAAATTGATTTACTTTTTGTTTTTGAGTGGAAGAACTCAGCAAAAGTAATCAAAGATTGTATTTTGGTTTTGTGGGGTTTGAGGAAAATTGAAAGTTGGTTTTTGTTTGTGTGGAAGATTGATTGACCTTTGGTGTGTTTTGAAGTTAATTTTTGATTCAGATTGAAGAGTACTTTTGTGGGTTTTGAGGGTTGGGTGTTTGTTTGTGAGGAAGGGAATAGACAACAGTATATCAAAGATTGTACTTTTGGTGTGTTTTGAAGTTCAGATTGAAAAAAAAACATACTTCTTGTGGATTTGAAGGAGTCGAAACATTGTTGGTTGTGTGTTGGTGGGGAAAGTTAAGCTACACTCATCAAAGATTGTACTTTTGGTGTGTTTTGAAGCTCAGATTTAAGAAAACATACTTCTTGTGGATTTGAGGGAATCGAAAGGTTGTTGGTTGTGTGTTGGTGGGGAAAAGTTAAGCTAGAGTCATCAAAGATTGTACTTTTGGGGTGTTTTGAAGTTCAGATTGAAAAAAAACATACTTCTTGTGGATTTGAGGGAATCGAAACGTTGTTGGTTGTGTGTTGGTGGGGAAAAAGTTGAGCAACAGTCATGTTCTATGGTACAGTGGTGTGGGATCCATGGTTAATTGTTGCTCAAATTGGGTGTATTCAATGCTTATACTATTTGACGTTAGGGATATTCTTGGAAATTCTTGTAGGGTCTCGTGTTTCTCGAATGAGTCTTGTCTATTTCTTTGATTACGCCACTGTTACTGCTTCAACTGTCACCGGATGGTGCGTCATTGCTTCCTTTCTTCTCAGTTCACTTGCCGGGTGAGATCTTGTTTTATTTTCCGTGTCTTCGCATATAAGTTTTTCAATTGCTTGTCAATGGCTTTGTGGCTTAGAGTTTGTAACATTTTCCCTAGTCATAATGATAAGTTGTCTTTGTTAATAAGTTGTATAAATTGTGTTCGTTTATTCCCCTTTCTGTGAAGATACTAATTATATTAGCATGGTGATGAATTTTTTGCTATAAGCTCGTTCATCAAAAGAAAAAGAATTTAAAGTACAAACAGTATACAAAAATAGGAAGTCTGCACAAAAATATGGTTCCCTACAAATAGTACCTAGTCAACTTCATGGTTCACGAAGAAATTAACTACACGTAACAAAATATTGGCCCTCTTCTACTAAAAATCATTTCCCACCCCATCAAAGGCTCTCATGTGTTCGTTTACTCTCATTTTTTATTTTTTATTTTTTATTTTTAGTTATATTTACTTAGTGAAGAATTTGAGTATAAGTAACTAGAAGTGGTCATTCACTGTTGAGTGTTTGTGGTTTTGTTAAATCAAGCAGTGTTCCAACCTTTTTTGCTGTAAGGACCGGTAGAGGATTATTTTGCTTGTATGCTTCATTTGGGCTGGTTGTTTAATTTGTTATGTTAATGAATTTCTAAATTTTCATATGTTCTCTCCTAATTGCTACAGGGAAAGTGTGAGAAAGGATATTAATTTATTGATATCTCATTTACTAAAAACTTACCCACCTCTTCTCTTTGCTTGACATGAAGTAGAATAAAAAAGAAAAATTAAGATAATGGAAGACCTTATTGCCCAAAAACCTGCATGGCCAAACAATATTTGTAGTATATTAGTTTAGGATTAAGGTTGGACCCATAGAACTTCTAGTTTTAGAGTACTCCTAGTATGATAAAAAATCTAAATTATGAATTGTGGATTGGTGTGGGTGGTTTGGATCAGAGGAGGATACAGGATTTGGATTCTCCGAGTGCCAAGTAGATCATCGACTAAATCAACTTTAGGCTTCGAAATTGGATTGTTTGTCTTTTCAGTCTATATGACAAATCAACCAATAAAATACGAACATTAATAAGGTGACAATTTATGTATTATATATAGTGCAAATTCACATCCTACATTTAATTGAAATTATGAAATGAACAAAGTTAAAACTTTCAATAATATTACTAATATCATAAATATCCATCATTCATTTATAATTATCTATGGTGAATTTTCATATTCTAAAAACGATCAGTGATAACATCATTAGTTACATTTGCAAAAACACTTATGTAACACATTAAACAATCATTTAAATATTGACCATTAATACTATTTTGCACTTCATTCTTTGTGTGCTTCATGGATGAGAATGCTCTCTCCACACTACGCAGTTACCGTAGCAATAGGCAAAATTAGAGTCAACTTCACAAGTAAATAACCTTTGCCAAATCATGAAATCCTTGCAAGTTAGAGAACTTGGGATTACCACCTCACATATGAATAATGGAAGTATCGAGTTGGTAACTCAAATCTTGAATCTGTCAATTATCAAACTCGCATTGATAACACTTTGCTAAAGTCTTGATCCTACCTTTGTCAACGTTAGAGAAAAAATTGACCAGATTCAAGCTACCTATCCCAAAAAGTAAATAACTACTCACTACATCAAAACGATCATTAAGCTCTTGAAGTTGCACATCACTGACAACAAAAAAGACTTCAACGCGCAACAGGTGCGAAAAACAAACACGAGAAGACTTGCACTTTGATTTTCCATGAAAATAAAACTCATTCAACTTGAGAAATCAAGATATCATGGGTATCATGGGAATCACAAAATGAAGAAACATCTTCCGACAAAGATTCTCATCCAGATTGACTCATATCTTGCAATCTTTTCTTTGAATGTTAAGAAACTCAACGACATTAACAATATCTTGATATTTTTTTTTGTAAAATCTCATCTTGTTTGACATTGCCAACACTTTGAATATCAAGTGAAGCATAAAAACAAATTTGAATGTTTTAATTTTTGTCAAATATATTCTGCTTAATTTTTATCACTTGAGGTGGAACCCTCATATTCAATATTTCAAGCACATGAACAATAAATGAGAAAATAACAATAAATTATCTAATGTTTTGAAATGTGATCTCAAATGAGTATCACTTGGTCTTTGTAGCCCATGTTCTTGATGTAATCCTTGACCACTATGAACTTCACCGGATTTAAGTAATTGCTCTAACTTTTCAGTTTGGTGATGATAGAGTTCATCTCTACGCTTGAAAGATCTTCCAACTACATTCAATATATTATTAACATGATCAAAAAAGTCTTTAACATTCGAATGTTTTTTAGCAATAACTACAAGTGTTAGTTGCAATTGATGAACAAAACAATGAATGTAATATGCTGATGGATTATTTTTTATAATCAAAGTTTTGAGACCAGTTATCTCCCCCTTCATATTACTAGCTCTATCATAACATTGTCCACGTATTTTGGATGGACTTAATGAGTGATCAAAAAAACAAAAAACAAATCTTTGTTCAATGAGCATGCCGATGTATCAATAACATGGACAAACGATCGTTCTACTTCACCATTCTTATCAACATACTGCAAAACAAGAACCATTTTAAACACATGTAACCTCTATTAGAATTCTAACACCTGTAACCCTAATCACTCAAAGATTATCATCTCAACAATTCCAAGTCGTGAAATGGCAATTACAAAGACATCTCACTCAAAAAACAAATGACTCTTGTTTTGCGGTATATTGATAAAAATGGTGAAGTAGTAGACTGATTTATCGGTCGTATCCATATTAATAATACGTTGTCATGCTCATTGAAGAAATTTATTCTTTGCTTTTCGATCACTCACTAAGTCTATCGAAAATACGTGGACAAAATTATGATGGAGCTAGTAATATGAATGAAGAGATAAAAGGTCTCAAAACTTTGATTATGAAAAATAGTTCATCAACGTATTACATTCATTGCTTTGCTCATCAATTTACAATTAACACTTGTAGCTATTGGTAAAAAACATTTGGATATGTTATGAATGTTGCTGTAGAATCTTTCAAGCATAGAGATTTACTCTATCATCACCAAGCTGAAAAGTTAAAACAATTACTTGAATTCGGTAAAGTTCATATTGGTCAACCATTATATCAAGAACGAGGGCTCCAAAAACAAGGTGATACTTGTTGGGGATTGCATTTTAGATAACTTTATTGTTATTCTCTCATCTATTGAACATGAAGGTTTCACCTCAAGTGATAGAAATCAAGCGGAAAATCTGACGAAGAATTAACCATTCAAATTTGTATTTATGCTTCACTTGATGTTGGTAATGTCAAATGAGTTGAGCAAGATTTTACAAAAAATTAGATCAAGATATTGTTAGTGTTGTGAAGTTTCTTAACGCTACAAAGAAAAGATTGCATATACGGGAAACTTGATGAGAATATTTGTTGAATGAAGTTTCCTCATTTTGTGATTCACATGATATTTTGATTCCCAAGTTAGACGAGTCTTATTTACCTGAAAAGTCAAAGCATAAGTCTCCGGTTATTTGTTATTCACACCACTTGTGTGTTGAAGCCTTTTTTGTTGTCATTGATGTGCAACTTCAAAAGCTTAATGATCGTTTTGATGTTGTGTGTATTGATTTGCTTCTTGCAATGGGTAGCTTGAATCTGGTCAATTCTTTCTCTAACTTTGACAAAGATAGAATCAAAACTTTAGCAAAGTGTTATCCATGTGAATTGGATAATGGCAGATTCGAGATTTGAGTTACCAACTCGATACTTTCATTATTCATATGTGAGGTGGTAATCCAAGTTCTCCAATTTGCAAGGAATTCGTGATTTGGTTAACACATATCTTCTGAAGTTGACTCTGATTTTACATGTTGCTACGACAACTGTGGAGAGAACATTCTCATCCATGAAAAATGTAGTGGGGAATAGCATTGGTGATCAATATTTAAATGATTATTTAGTGTGTTACATAAATCGGTGATGTATTTGCAAATGTAAGTAATGATGTCATCATTGACCGTTTTCAGAATATGAAAACTTGTCGAGGACAATGGTAAATGAATGATGGATATCTATGAAATTAGTAATATTATTGAAAGTTTTAACTTTGTTCACTGATTTCAGATGAATGTGGGGTGTGAATTTGTTGTATACATAAATTGATCTTATTACTATTCATATTTTATTGATTGATTTGTCATATAGACCGAAAAGATGACTAATTCGATCCGAAGCCTAAAGTTGATTTGATCGATGAGTCTACTTGGCACTGGGAGACTCCAAATCCTAGATTCGTCTCTGGTTCTATTTGCCAAATATAAATTGGTGGAAACAGGGAAGAGGGAGCTTGTAATGTAAGAAAAGACAACAAATGCAATACCAGATAAGGCCAAAAAAATTCGTGAAGAATGAATTATATTTCTTTTACCTTTCCTCCCTAGTTGTGAACTCTTTTCCTTTCTGGAATAAGGTAAATACTCCAAAGTTACGTAATTATGTGACCTTTTTATTGTTTTCCACTGCACATGCTGTTCTCAGTTGAGAAAAATACTGACCTGTGAAAAGCTTCCAAATTTCCAGAGAATTTGATTGACCTGCATAATTGAATTTCCAATGTCTTATTCCCCAACACAGAGCTGGCATTTTACTCTATTTGATTGAGAGGGCAAAGAAGTGCCTAGATTTTTCTGCAACACTCTACATCATCCATCTTTTTATATGCATTGTCTATGGTGGTTGGCCTTCCTCATTAACATGGTGGATTGTGAATGTTACTGGGGTTGCTGTGATGGCATTGTTAGGTGAATATTTGTGTATAAAACGTGAATTACGAGAAATTCCCATTACAAGATACCGATCAAGTAAGTTCCTTTATTATTCTGCTATGGTCTCTTTCTATCTTGTTGGCGTATGTATCCTCACTTTGGTTGGGTGTTTTTCAGCTATTCTAATGATTTTTCCTTGGGATTTATGATTATTGCATCTTCTTAATTATGATGTGAATTGACATTCTGTAGATGTTCTCTGTCCATTCTTGTCTGTAGCTATCTTTTTTTGTTAATCTATATATTTGATTTTGCATCTATGTATTGAACCTTACTTTACCTCACTTGTGGGATTTCACTGGGTATGTTGTTGTTGTATATTGAACCATACTGGTAGTTTTCTAAAATTTCTCTTTTCTATGGTGCTTTGGCAACAGTTTGTCATAGCTATGAATGGTGGCATGTATGAACCTTGGGAACTTTAACTCGAGTTTTTGTTACTTATAAAAAATGTTTTGGAATTTATATATTTTGGATACAAATTAGTACTTATATGTGCTGTGTTAAATGTAATGAACAAAATTTAGAGCAGTAGTTGCAGTTGAAAATTTGTGATTATTACCACAAACATGACAAAAGTGGAAGTCAGGGAGAGGGAGTTAGAATCTGAGAAACTGATGGACGCTAATGGGATAAAAGTGCAGAATATTATTAGAGACCTCGAGGTTGACTTTTCCTTGAACACCATGTCTCTTTCCTACATGAAGTAAAGTGTCTTTCTTCCACTTGCTGGTCCTTATTAACTGAGAGGTTTGTCATTGTCAGCGTCATGGAGATTAAGTTCCAATGGATAAAGAGGGATCCTTAGATACTATGTCACCGTGGGAGAGTTTAAAATGAGTAATGCTAACCATTCCATTATTTACACAAACTCTTTGATGACTTATTGGCTGCTTGCTTGAGAAGTAAGTTTCACAAAGATGGAGCAGATTTTTTGGCAGTAACTCATGGAGTAATAAATTGTAGAGTATGTTCAAATTGTACCAGGTGTTTGGGATTTGTTTTGATTGTGTCCTTGGTATTACAAAAAAGTCTAAATTTCACTGTGTCAGACCTTCATATGAACTGGGGGAAAAGCTATATCTACCCAATTACTGAAGTAGTACAAATTGAGGAGCTGGCCAATACAGGGGGGGGGACTTACTATGATCAACAATGTGCTGGATGAGCTACCCTCCATCTACTTAGGCATGCCATTAGGTGCAAAAAGTAAGTCAATGAGCATTTGGAGTGGCGTGATAGAGAAGTGCGAGAGAAAATTAGCAAACTGGAAAAGCCAATGCTTATCTGGGGAGGGGGGGGGGACTTACTATGATCAACAATGTGCTGGATGCCTTACCAACATACATGATGTCTGTTTTCCAAGCACCAGCTGGTGTAATCAATAGATAGAGGTACTCAGAAAAACCTTCTTTTGGCAAGGAAATGAAGATAAGAGAAAGTATCATCTTGTCAAATAGGAAGAAATGAACATAAGCAAGAAGATTGGGGGTGCGGGCATCAGAAACATGAAGTTTCAGAACCAAAGCCTTATGATGAAGTGGTTATGGAAGTTTTCATCTGCTGAGAACTCATTGTGGAAGGAGGTGATTGCTGCAAAATATGGAATGAGGGATAAGTGGATGACAACAGAGGTGGCCTCTCCATATGGGTCTAGTGTATGGAGATCTATCAGGGATCTATGGGATTTGGTGCTAGAAAGATCACACTGTAAGTTGGGAAATGGCAGAAAGGTGGTTTTCTGGATGGACAAATAGTGTGGACAGGTTCCACTAAGCCAAAGGTTTCCTGACCTCTACAACCTATGTCAAATGCAGCAAGCAACTGTAGCAAAATTATGGAATGATCAGGGGTGGAATTTGCACTTCAGGAGAAACTTAAATGATTGGGAGATGTGTAGATTAGCGGAGCTTTTTTTCACCCTAGCACAATTTAGTAACTTGTCTGTTGAAGAGGATTCACTGGTATGGAATGTGGGAAGCAAAGGGTGGTTCACTGTTAACTCAGCATATGAAGATCTCAACACAGTTGGCATTGAGGAAGTAGAATGGCCTTGGAAGAGGATATGGAAAATTAAGATACCCTATAAAGTAAACTGTTTTACTTGGTTGTTAGCTAAGGAGACAGTTTTGACACATGAGAACTTGAACAAAAGAGGTTTTCACCTGTGTTCCAGGTGTTTTTTGTGTGAAGAGCAAGGAGAGACAGTCAACCATCTCTTCTTACACCACAAGTGGACAAGCCAGTTGTGGCAAATGTTCACCAATATGAGAGAGATTAAATGGGTGAAACCAGAAAGGATCAAAGAGGTTTTGAAGTGCTGAAATAGAGATGGAAATGCAGGAAGAAAGGAGGAGAGATGGAAGATTGTCCCATCATGTATATGGTGGACAGTATGGCTAGAGAGGAACTAGAGATGTTTTGAAGTAAAGCAGAGCAACATACAAAGACTTAGCTTAATTGTTTAGCTCTGTATTATTTTTGGTGTAAACAAGTAGTCTTAGATAGCTCAGAAGTAATCAGCACAACTATAGACTGGCTGTAACTTGGTAGGTATAAGATCCTATGTAATTACAACACTTTTGGAGGGGAACTACACTTTTGAGGTAGTATACCTACGGATAAATATAGACTAACTGTTACTTTTCTCAAAAAAAAAAAGAGTCTAAATTTCATCCTTCACAAATGTCATTCCTAGTATTTGGAAAAATGTCTTGCATACCATTAGCTGTATGCTCCTACCTATATTCCCAAAGGTGTATCTTTTGAGTGTTTTAACCGATCCACTTCCTTGCTGTATCAATGCAGAAAGGGAGACATTTTAGGAAAACTTGTCAGTCTTTCTGTAATTTGGTTAAACTTCTTTTTCTGTGAGGTAAACACTGTGTCAAAGCAACTCAACCTCCCCCCTCAGTGCCTAATATATCTTCATAACCCCCTCTTTAGAAGCTTAAGGTGGATTCTTCGTAGAACTCAAGATCAAGTACTATCTAATTTAAGTCAGAAGAGGACTTTGCCCATAGTTATGCTGAGGATCCATATTTTCTTAGCAAAAGAATGACGAGCTTGAACCAAAGAAGGAATTGAGGATTTAGTTTACTGGAAGCCATGTTTATTACTAAATACCTACCACCCCCAACCCCAAAAAAGAAAAGAAAGAAAGAGTCAACTAGATTTTAAGAGAAAACAGAGTTTTTTTAAAAATGACCTTTTTGTCGTGCTTGAATCACGTGGTCGGAAAATATTACTGATGCAGATAAACGTATACTTATCTTAAATTGTAGGAATGGAAGACACTAGGAATACATGCGACAAAATTGAAACCAATCCAATGTTGTGGAAATTAAATAAAGATGGATCCTTTTCCTTATGCTTTGGCACTCATCTTTACTTCTGTGGTTTTACTTTCCCCCTTTTTCCTTTCCTTTTCTTTGAATATTGTCTAGTATTTTAGTTGGACACTTTGTTCTAGTCGGTGTTGGTAACACTTCGCCCCATGAGTATGAAAACTTAAATCCTTTTAGAGGCTTGGAGACTCATCACAAAATGACTAATGAAATATAATGACATGCATATTATTCAAAGTACACGTGTTACATATTATACATAAATTCTATGTAGCTGTGTATTTCTGCTAGTTCAACTAATTTGAAATTCATCTTATGTAGGTGTTTGACTAAGTAGATGTTCAACAGCAAACAACATTTTTCTTTTAGTCATGCAGCCGGTGGCTTCTTTAACTCATTTACTATTTGAGAAGATTTGAAGCGTCTCTATGCAATTTATCTCATGTTTGTGGCAATGACATACTGGGGACTGCTAGGAAATTGCCAAATTCACAGAGGAAAACACGCTAAGCACCTGAGTTACTAGGTGATTTCTTTTCAATCCAAAGAAACTTAGAAAGAAGTATAGCAACTTTAATTGGATGTTCGTTGTTAACAAGCTACTTGTACATTAAGTTATTCACTCAGGATTGATCATTTGTCAAGTTGCAACGTTTTGCAGCCAATATTCTGTCAGATAGTTAGAACTTAGAAGTTCTTTGGTCCTACTTGTTCCTGCTGGGTTGTCTTTCCTTGTGTTTGAACCAGGATAATACGAATGGTTGAAGAATTTGTTCGAGTTACTAATATATCAGAAATTCAGAATAATTTTCCAGGTCCTGAATAGGAGAAAAAGCTAGTCAAGTTGCTAAATGTAAATTTTATGAAGTATTATTTAGAACATGTGGAACGGAAAGCGTTTTTTTTTTAATGTTTCAAAGTGCAGAAAGAGATGGTACAGCAAAAAACATTTCATCTTCCTTGATAATGAATGAAGAGAAAAAGTTGGAGGTACTTGTTCAAATCAAGTTTAGTACCTCTTTTTTCCCTTTTCCTCATGAGTCTGTTTATCTTCTTTGGTGATGTATGGTAATAATGACACAAAGTATATTGTGCTGTTTTATAACAATGGAACGCCAACTATTTGACGTTTACTAGCATATAAATTTGACATAGAATGGGAAACGTGGTTAGTAAAGATTCATATAGTTGACTCTAACTTGTTTGGGATTGAGACTTGTTTATATTGTTTGAGATTGAGAGAAAAACAAAGAAATCACTTGACCATGATGATGAAACACAATATAATTTGAGTCGATGAACTACTCTCCAACGTAACAATTTTCAAAAATTTCAGAAAGACTTGTTGGGAATCGCTGATTGAGTCGATTCAACCAAGAAAGACATGGGACTTCTGAATGTTGCTTGGACTGAGTTAAGTAAAGACTGGCTAGTTACATAGTTAAGTAGGGTAATACCCAAGGACTACAGTGAATTGAAATTCATACACTTGACTCAAATTTGAACTAAACTCTTACATAAAAAAACTTCAACTAAGGATCTGATATTGTTAACTTTCCAACTTGAATTGTAGTATCATCACATGCCATTTAAACTTTTATCTTATATTGGCAATTCAGTTTCAGTCTTCCACAAAGATGAGATATCAGCCACAGCTTCAGAAACTGTCAGATATATTCCATTTAGTCCAAAGCCCTCAAGAGCATTAGATTCATGTAGCTTTTCCGTAACATTCCCACCTGGATTTGCCAGCACAAGCTGAACACAACAAATTTTGTAAGAATTTTTTTGACTAATGGAGGAAACAAAAGAGCCATCTTTTATATGGCTGATGTATTTACCTTAAGAGATCGTTTATCCAGCGTCTTTCTTAGTTCACATATTGTGTCAATGCCACTTGAGTCTATGGACGACACAGCTGGTAAACAAAGATGGTGTTTTGTCACTCAACATGTTAGATACAGAATATCAGCAAATTTCTCTTCTTTTTTTCTCTTCAACTGACCTGTCATGTCGATAATTACACATTTGATTGCAGTTTCTTGGTTGGCTTCTATCCTCTCTTCCTCTTCGCGTATCCATCTCAATATCCTGTAGTTAAATGGAATTCCAAGTAAATGAAACTGTGAAATAAATACAGAATGTGCAGCCTATGTTAGTAACTAACCTTTCTTGTAAGTAGGTAGAATTTGCAAAGTAGAAGGGAGCTTCTACAGCTAGGATCAGGAAAGAAGGAATTCTAACAGCTGTTCTATATCTGTTCATGTTTTGATATACTTGAGTTCCAGGAATATTGCCCAAGACACCAGTATTTGGCCTTGTAACATGCAACAAGATCTTAAAAACCGAAACTCCAACCTAAAATTTCATGACCAAAAACCAGAAAATATTAGTTAGGTAAGATCAGAAGGACTTAAAAATCTGAAACTTTCGAGGGGATGCTTACTGCAATGGCTAGGCCGAGAGGTACTGAGATGAAAAGAACACCAAAAAACGAACACAAGCAAGCTAAGAAATCGAGCTTGTCAACTTTCCATAACCGTAATGCAGCCTGATAATCGATTAGGCCAATCACTGCTGTTATGATGATTGCTGCCAAGATGACAATGGGAGTGTAATAGAACAGTGGCATTAGAAACAGCAGGGTGATTAACACAGCTGTTGCCATTATTATGTTTGAAACAACTGTTTGTGCCCCAGCGTTGTAATTTACTGCTGATCGAGAAAATGATCCTGTAAAAGTAAAACTTATCTAGGTAAAAAAGGAGAGAAAATCTTACTTATACATATAATAGCTAAAACCACAGGCCAATAACGCCAAGGGCAGAGATCCCTTGGCGTAAGTTTTTTTTTTTAATGCCCTTATTTAAATTTCTGGCTCCATGACTGAATGAGGTTGGTACCTGTTGTAACATAGCAAGAAGAACAGGATCCAGCCATGTTCATTAGTCCAATAGCCATCATTTCTTTGTTTCCATCAACTTGGTAATTCTTCAAAGCAGCAAATGTCCTTCCTACTGCAATCCCTTCCTGTAAGTCCATGAAAACGTTGATCACGAACCACTTCTTTACAATTTCTATGACCAATCACTCGTTATGGATAAAAACGACTTACTGTGAGTGCTAAGATCCCGGATACAATGCCAGTTTTGATGGCAAGAGGCAGATAAGGACCACTCAGATATAACATGTTCATTGAGGGTGGATTTAGACCCTTTGGTAAGTGTCCAATCTGCAATAACTCAAAGTTATTTCCAGTTTTATTCTGCTAAAAACTTACGTATCAACGTAAAGTTGATGCATATTACTTACAGTTTGAATCCCATGAGCTTTCGACTTAAGGCAGGCAACTACAAGAGTTGATAGAACAACTGAGGCCAACGGAGATGCTGCTGAAAGCCAGAAAAATTTCGGATTCCTGGTGCTCTGATACCACAAAAGAAGATTCAACAACGTCAAAATTCAGAATATTAGTATGTTTTCTTTTTCTGTACATAAACCAAACAAATACATACGATTTGCCTTGTTGTTAGCAGGAACGCGAGGAAACACATGCCCATAACAATGGTTTGCCAAGACCACTGCAGACAGATATAGAAGATTAAAATTTCAATTTGTTGAGTAAACAAAGATTGTTGCTTTTTCGACAATCTTATTAACTCAGATATAAGCTTCTTCTTACTTCGTCCTTGTGCTGGAAAACAGAAGACAATACAGGAACTATTTGCATCTTGCTTGTGAAATGGACCATTCCTAGCAACCCTTTCAGTTGTTGCAATGAAACTATGACTGCTGCACCAGCCATGAACCCGACTAACGTTGCCTTTGACAGAAAATCGATGATAAATCCCAACCTACAAACGTTTAAACTAACTGAGTTCTAAAATAATTCGTAAACACAGAGTTCTAAAATTCATTTTTCAGAATCCTTATTAGTTTACTTAAGTTAGAATGAAATGGACTTGCATACAGTGGAAACGATATATTAAGGATTCATATAGACGACTCACAATTTGTTTAGAATTAAGACAATTCAACTCAATATCACCATATCTATATGGCTAAAGACGGAGATTAACTCATTAACTTGTCTATCACCCTACAAAGGTAGAGGTAAAGTCTGCGTACATCTTATCCTTCCCAAATCCACTTGTGAGATTACACTGGATATATTATTGTTCGTTAACCTCAGAATCTTTGTTATTGCATAGTGCATAAAATTCCACTCCCTTTCTTTTTTATTGCTTTCTTAGTGCAATGTATCTAAATGATTCTTCTTTCTAAAACTTGCTTCCACTTAGTCATTAGAATTATTCTCCCTTTTTCTAAGCCAATTAGAAAGTCAAAATTAACAAAAAAAAATGTGTTTTTTAAGTGAACGAAAAGGATTTAGGTTATATACACTAACGATTACCTGAAGAATCCGAGTGAAGCCTGAAAAACTCCAGCAAAAAGTGTAGCTGTAAAAGCCAATTGAAGGTAAAGAATTGGTTGTTCAGTGTAAGAAACAACTTCACTTAGCATTGTGCCCATAACAAGTGATGCAATTGAAACTGGACCAACTGCTAAGTGTCTTGAACTTCCCAAAACTGAATAAATCAATGGTGGCACAAAGCTTGAATCTGCATTACCAGATTGAACATAATATTATTACAGTGACAGAGCTAGAATATTTACGAATTATGTATTTATAGTGATGGTCTGTCCAAAACTATTGTGACAGAATAAGTAGGTGCAATAATGTTTTGTATCCATTCATATTAAATATCTTGCATGTCTCTGCCTTCAATTAATAGAACAAGTGTAGAATCCACTAAAAAAAATCATAAACTTAAACATATCTTATTTCTTTTATAAATTTGTTTTTAGTTTATATCCTTTTTATAAAAGATCTAAAAGGCAATAAAATAAAATAATAATAATTTCAAATTATAAAGGGCTAATTTCACCCAATCTCCCAAACACTACTAAAAAATCACAATTTTCCCACCGGAAAATGTTTAGGGGGTTTTTTACCAGATATTTTAATGGAATCGATGAAAAAAGAAAAGAAAAAAAGAATAATGTTTTCTTTCGAAAAAATGTGAAAGTTTCTCACTGTGAAAATCTGTTCTATAGCATAAATTTCTTAGTGATTCGTGACAGAAAAAACTTTTGTTTTAGTAGTGAAACTAATTAAAAGTTTATATCAAATGTAGTTATATTCTGTCTAATTTAATTCCAATACAACTAAAAACCCATTATCATGTTTAAAAAATGTTCAACTAAATTCTAAAATCATACAAATTCTATAAACTAAAAATCAAATATATCTACTAAACAAAATTAAGAATTGTAGGGAGCTTACATAGACCAACAATAGGTGGCAAATTAGCAAGTTTAGCATAGCTAATTCCTTGTGGTATAGCAAGACTAGCAATGGTAAGTCCAGATATGATATCAGGCCTTAGTAACTTGAGATTATACTGAGGGCCCCACTCAAAAACAGGAAAAAAAAATTGAAGTCCCAAATACAACTTCATCAAACATGTTTGATTCTTGAACTTATGAAGTGGATCATCTGGGAAAAACACTTCTAACAACCTTTGTCTTAGTTTTTCAAGTGTTGTTTTGTGTGGTGGCAAGCAAACTCTATGTACTTCAAGTGGTGGTACATCATGATTTGATATTGGTAATTCAAAACCCTCTTCATTGCATGCATGTGTTGATAAATCTTCAACTCTATTTGAACTTAGTACCATATTATAATAAGAGGCCTTCGATATCAATCAATCGAGTTCAGACTCACAAATGAATAGAAAGCGAACCGAAGGTTTTTAAGACTAAGTTGGGAGAGTGGTAGAGAGGTAGTTGTTTGGTGGTAAATGGAGAAGGACACTTACCATCCTTTTATAGGGACAACATTAACTATCACAATCCCCAAGGAAAAT